CGCCACCCGCCACACTACGCTAACCCCCCAAAAAAACTCTTTTTACTTTTTCCCTGTAAAGAACTATAATACAACTATATATAACGCGAAGTGATTGTTTCAACTTGTTGCAGTGGGCGGAGTGATTCTGTGCCAGTTCAACGCCATGGTGTTCCTCAAGATGTGGTCCTTCGTGCACGCGTGCTGGTGGGCGCGGGAGAGGCGCAGTCACAGAGGTGAGTTCTTGTGCGAGTCTGTACGCATAGTTTGCAGACCCACAGAGAGATGCGGGCAGCGGGAACACTGTAAATAAATAAAACAATATTTTAACAACATTCTAAACCGGTTTTACGCCCGTAAATCGAAACCGCAGTTTAAAGCTGTCAATTATTTTTATTGGAAACTGTAGGGTAGCGAAATAGTAGTTTCAAAATTTGAATTTTGAGGATGACTTCCATTTCTTTTGACAATAATTGCTGTAGGATTTTTTTTACTATCACTGGAAGTCGGCGAGTGACTTAAGCTGCTCCTGCAACACTCATTTTGAATGATTTTTGAGATTGCTCTATTAAAGTGATGGAAACATATATGTTTCGTATACGTCGCTCTATTCGGGTCAAAAAGGGTGACTCTCTCCCTTACAGTGATACAGGGGTGAAATAGTCCCGCGTGCTCGCTAAGTTGTCACACCCTTTCGCGACGGTTAGTCAGCCGCCTCCCGGCCCGGTCCGTCTCCGTCATGCCCTCCCGTCGTCCCCACGGGCCGTCGCGCCCGGCTGGCCTAACGCAGGCTGACAATCGCGCGCCACTTTGCGCAAATTTAAGCTGGTTTACGGTGTTGGACGGAAAGGGGGGACGGAGGGGGGGATCTATTTGTTTCCATCCTCTCTTTTAAGACCCGTCGCTTTATCATCCCCCACCACTCTCAACGCTCTCCCCTTTCTCCTGCTCTCCCTTTTCTCCGTGACGCCAGGGATTCTTGTGTGGCTGATGCCCTTCAGAAGGGTGTAACCCATTTGCATGTGCATCGTATCATGCACCTACGTGACACTCAATTTGAGGGCGAAAAACCGTGCAAACAAAACGTAACAGAACATTTATTCTAATTTGTTTTAATACGAAATGCCGAAACTCCTTCGGAAATGCACGCGCTTTGCTGCTGATCGAGGCTCCTTGAAAATGTGTTTAATTGAGGTCCGTGGCGGCAGCGGGGCTTCTGCTCGCCGTTGGATGGTGGCGAAAGGGAGGGGGGAGCGGACGGGGGGGGGGGGGCGTAAATGAGATTACAAGTTTGAGCCTCCTCCCCCCCCCCTCTCTTTTTCACTACCGCCACAAACATCAGATGCTTGCTCGCCGTGCCCGTAATGAGGGATGGGGTGGCGGGATGTCTCAGATTGTGGATAGCCAGCCCCTCTCTGCCCATCTCCACCCCTATTTTACTCAATTCTGTGAAAAACGAATTACGTTAATATCTCTTGCCTTTTCCGGCAGCGGCGGTGGCGGCTGCTGTGGGCTCCGGCTGTGGTGAGGTGGTGCACTCCAACGGCCACGGCGCCAGCAACGGACACGGCGGCGCCAGCAACGGGACCAGCAACGGCCTCGCCCGCGCGGCCGCTGGACATCCGCCCGCTGTCCAGGCGGTGGTGCCGGCCACCGAGTACCCGGACAACCTGTCGGTGGGCAACATGGCCTACTTCACGTTTGCGCCGACGCTGTGTTACGAGATGGACTACCCTCGCCACCCAACCATCAACTGGAGGTGCGTCCAGCTGGCAAAATCTGCATCTCTCTAATATTGATTGAAAGTTTGACTTGCATTTTTCGTCGTGTCTAAGTTTGAAACTTAATTTTCCCCTCCGATTTCCAGGAGAGTGGCGGTGCGCGCGACGATGCTGGTGGTGGTGTTTCTGATGCACATGAGCATGGCCCAGCAGTGGCTCATCCCCTCGTACACCGCCGTGCTCACACCGCTCGCGGTCAGTATCGGAGGACCGGTTCAATCGTTTCGTTATTCATTTTTGTTTCATCCTTTGAAAATCATTTTGCCGTCGTTTATTTTATCTCCCTCCTCTCTATCGCTCGCTTTTTTTTTTCATTATCAATACTTCCATGGCTCTCTGTGGATGCGCTGTGTGTGTGTGTGTGTGTGTGAGTGCGTGGCGCGCGCGCGTGGACATGCTATGTGTATTGAGCAGTCTATATTTAGTCGTCCGGGTGGGCGTAGATTCTGAATTTGTTTTATTTTTATTTGGTTCGTTCAGTCATTCACGTTGATAAAAATATAACTTTTCCTAGTATAAAAAACAGTAATAATACCAATGAAAGACTCCCGTCGCGCTGTGGGCCATATGCATGATTTCGTACAATCCCAACCCATCACAACTCCACCCCAAACCCCACCCCAAACCCCACCCCAAACCCCACCCCACTGTCAGTTCCCACTTAATATCGTGGAAAATGGGTCTTGCTGAAAGTCGTTTCTGTTTCTATTTCCAGAAAGGAGAGTGGTCCGTCGTGGCTGAGCGCATCTGCAAGATAGCGGTGAGTAGTGTATACATGTGCTATAAAACACAAGCAGCCCCACTCTCTCTCTCTCTCTCTCTCTCTCTCTCTCTCTCTCTCTCTCTCTCTCTCTCTCTCTCTCTGGCTCTCTTTTCTCGTTGTGACATGGGGTGTCAGCTTGGTGCACACGCCCTAAAAGCTTAACTTTTTTTTTTCTCTCCGTCCATTTCTGCACCAGCGGGACTTCTGCCGCTCAAACTTTTCTGACCCATGCTTTTCTTTCAACCCTCCCCCTCTCTCCTCACCCTTTTCCACCCTTTCCCCTGCTCTTTCTGCCTCTTTTTTTCCCTCCTGTTTATTACTGCAATTTTTTTCGTCTCCGTGTGTACTTCCGAATGATCGAAAGTTGCCCCCCGCTTTTGCCCGGGCGCCTGTCCCGCCTGTCCCAGATCCCCAACAACCTCGTGTGGCTCGTGTTCTTCTACGAGCTGTTCCACGTCAACATGATTCTGGTGAGCGAGCTGACGCGCTTCGCCGACCGCCGCTCGTACGACAGCTGGTGGGACTCGGAGGACATGAACGTGTTCTGGCGCCGCTGGAACCTGCCCGTCCACCACTGGTGCATCAGGTGAGTCCCCCGGGGGGGTTGGAGAGGAATCCGACCCCAACCCTTTAACTATTCATGCCTTGGATAATGCAGCAGTCCGTCGCGTCGCTTTTGCTGAATCAAAACTGGTATGCGGCAGTCCTTTTGCATAGTACCACTACGCGTACCTTTTTAAAATTCAGAAATAAA